TATGCAAGAAAAAATATCTGACATATGTTTGCGGTTCGGATCGGAATATCCGTCCCTCGGTCACCCGCCCATGGGCGGTAACTCGGCAAGCCTCGTTACCGCCCAATGGGCGGGTCACCTCGGGACGGATATTCCGATCCGAACCGCAAAATATGACAGATATTATTATTCTACTCTCCACTCACTTCGCTTTTCCTCTATAATAATCGTATGCTTTATCACGATGAGTTATTATTTGAAGTCTTGTGAACACACTCTTACTTGTATATCACACACATGCGAATTATATACTAGTATATCATCCCAAATATTATTTTCTCGAATATTGGCTATTAAGAGCAGTTATCTAATGACAATTGTTGATTTATTTTATAAATACGTGCCGACAAAAAAAATCAAAGCACAGAAGGCGCTGAATTTGTTTGGGTCTCAGAATATCAGAAAGGGGAAGGTTGTGAGATTATAAAACAATTTGTTTTTGTATAGTGCCACAAATGCTTTCCAGCGTTTTAATTGTAGTAGATTGGCTATAAGACTAATTGCAACACTGATATTCGATCCGATGTTTATTTGACTTAAACAATTTGAAAAAAAAAAGTTGCCGTAATTGGGGTTTGAACTCCAGACCTCTCGCTTCCTAAGCGAGCGCGCAAACCACTCGGCCACGGTGAATTTAAATGATAACGGCCTGAAGATAACCGTATTATTCTATTTAGGGTTTGTAACGACGCTAACTGTTGTTTAACACTTGTGTAAACAAGTAGAGATTTTGATGCTAAAGCATCAAGTCGCCGGATAGAATCAAAGCACAGAAGGCGCTGAATTTGTTTGGGTCTCAGAATGTAAGAAAGGTCCATGTTGTGAGATTATATGTATAGTGCCACCAATGCTTTCCAGCGTTTTAATTGTAGTAAATTGGCTATAAGACTGATTGCAACACTGATATTCAATCCAATGTTTATTTGACTTAAACAATTTGAAAAAAAATGAGTTGCCTTTACTGGGATTTGAACTCTAGACCTCTCGCTTCCTAAGCGAGCGCGAAAACCCTTCAGCCACGGTGAATTTATATGTAAACGGCCTGAAGAAAACCATATTATTCTAAATTAGGGCTTGTAACGACTTTAACTGTTGTTTAACACAGATGTAAATAATCCTGGAGCTTACTATAAGCATGTAGATTTATAAAGAATCAAAGGGTTGCAAGTTCTCTGGTATTTTCTGATCTTTGCAATCTAATTCGTACTGTATATCTGTATGTATTTTCCTGTATAAGTTTATTTTTATGTATTATAATTCATTTTGCAAGGCACCAGAGTTTGATACATACGGAATTCTGCATAACTAGAGTTGCATCAAAATATCATTTATGTTCATTTTTTTACGACAGCTACACTTTATCCTTGCATATCACGGCTACTTCCTTAACAAAGACACTTTAAAAAGAATTTTAAAAAAAAAGTTTCCTCGACTGGGATTTGAACTCCAGACCTCTCACTCACTAAGCGAGTGCGTTACCCCTGCACCACGGAGAAATTATAAAAACGTTGTCTGAATAACATAAAGCCATTCTAAATTTAGAACTTCCATTGCATTTCGGGTTTGTAATCCTTATTAATTTCGAAGTATTTTGTTCAGGATAAACCTGTTGTTTAAAATTGAAGAAAATAATTTAGCGAAAATCTTCTCGCCCAAACAGTCCGACATGTAGAATCTATATATTCCACTACTCGGTTTGTGTAGTATTCGGTAATCGACATCGCTAAAAATAGTATTTTCATTGATAAAATCATATTCATCCGCGTAATTTGTGATTGTGCATTTATTGACAATTCTATAAGCCAACGCTATTTTTAAACTTTGAATGCGTTGTAATTTGTTGGATACTTGTAACAAAATAAAAATATTTCTTTCTTTTAAATCGCTAGTTTTAAGCTGTTTTAAGAACTACTTGTTGTTAGGTTTGTCGTAAACTTCTGTGTCAGAGATTGAATGTCCGCTTTGTATTTACTTATTTTCGATCAGAAAATACAATAAAACAATATTAGAACTCTTCGACCATTTGGGAATTATTTTGCTTGAAAATTAATGTGCCTGTCTTTGACCATCTTTACGCAGTGATCTCCCCTGAATTTTTCGGCGTTAGTGTACATATAAAGGGAAGTAACCGCTTCAAAAAAGTGGACTACTTTCGGCATTTGCAATTAACAGCATTAGACTCTGAAATTTCGCTACCATTATTTGTTTGGTCTGACGACCCAAACAAATAAAAATGATTGTATTATCATAAATATAAGAAAATATAAGTTTAATGGTTCAAGTATAAAAATAAGAGGAACAATGAGTTGAGTAATGTTTGCCACTGAGGCTTGTAAGGCAAGTGCTATGCTGGTAATTCTTCTTGTAATTTTACTTTATACATATACTGTTGTACCATACATTGAAATCCGTATAGGTTACTAGTGCAGATTCAGATAATTACCGACAAATAATTACCGATCATCGAATATTTGCAAAGTGACGATGAAAATATATATGTTTAATTATTACATGAAACAAACAATACAATTTTATTGTAAAAGTGTTGTACATCATTATTATGTGCTATAGAAAAAATATATAATTTAGTTGAAATCAATACACGTATTCCAATCGTTACATACGATATATAAAATTAACGTTTAATTGCCTTTCAGTGCGATAAACTATCAACACAAAGATAGTTTATTATTTTTTATATGTATCTAATACGATTCCGGACCCCTGACGTCATACCGTTTTGGAAACCTGCGTGACGGAAACCGACGGAATATACCGAAATCAACGATTACCATTATATATTTCAATAATGTGCCTCTTAAGCATAACATTATTTTGGGATGTTCAACCTAAACTAAACAATTGAACTTTCTTGTCGAATGTTTGACAGAAAGGGCCAAGTTAAACCCTTTACCAAGAAGAAAGGAAAAGGTTTTGAAAATGTATTTTTAATGTAAACAGGTTTCTCTAATGATATAAAGTATGAGCCTGATTAATGAAAAATAACTTATGTAATTATCTGTACAAAATTACAATGATTTACATCTTATCAGTTACCACCATTAACAAGTTACCTGTCTTATCAGCAATCTGTAACTATTAATAGATTTTATAACGATATACAACATATATAAACATGTAGTCACGTGATTCTTACGAAAGACCAGGGAGCATTTGTTTATAATTAGATAAAATAATGTAATATAAAAGGTCTCATAAAAAATAAACAACCAAATAATTCTAAAGTGTCATTTCAAATATCATTCATGATTTATATATTATAAAATAGCAATGCTTGACACACAGAAAAAAGTAAAAGTATCTCTAATATTCAATGACTGATCCTTGGGGATACGTTATTGATTCATTTTATGAAAATTGTAATGTTGCTTTTTAAGACGTCAATATGTGCATATTTCATTCCACTGAGCAAAGTTATCATATGTTTGATTTTTTGTGATTACTGAAAAATAATTGTTGTCTTTAATTGTTCAATGATTGATATGCTTTTATTTTCAGATTTTAAGGGCTTCTCCTACCATAGGTATAATATTAAACTATTACAAATATAGTCGCCGGTTTCTACCGGCGACTAATAATCATGGCGCTTACTATAAGCATGTATATTTATAAAGAATAAAACAATATTAGAAATCTTCGACCATTCGAGAATTATTTTGCTTGAAAATTAATCCGCCTGTCATGTGACAATATTTATGAAAAAAATCCCCTAAATTTTTCGGCCTAAGTGTTACATATAAAGGGAAGTAACCGCTTCAAAAAAACGGACTACTTTCGGCACTTGCAATTAACAACATTAGAGTCTGAAATTTCGCTACCATTATTTGTTTGGTCCGACGACCCAAACAAATAAAAATGATGAAAAAAAATCAACAAAATGGCAACAAATATAATGGGGGTCAGCATACGTTTCCGTAGAAAGCCTGACTTGTATATTCGGGCACCTTTGTGAGGATGCCGAGCACTATCTATTTTGTCCTCCATTATTTAAACCTCAAAGACTCATACTCTTAGCAGAAACCAGAATTTTTCATCCACTTAATATTGATCTGTTATTGTGGGGTAGCAATTCTTCAGATATCAATAATAATGAACAAGTATTTGCGACTGTCAAAACTATCAAAACTACTATACTGTAACCGTTTTCGAAACACCTGTTTTTGTGTAAATCAATCGGTTGTATTAATCTTAATAACCTGTTACCATAACAAGTAACAAACATGTTTATGACGGATGTCTACGATGGTACAGATACGGTTATACACAGGCGACATGTAAGTGTTTTAATTTATATCATTCGCACGAGATACTATGTCGTGGCTACGAGTTACTATATATGTCGTGGCCACGCGTTACTAAGTCGTGGGCACGAGATAATTAAGCTGTGGGCACGTGATACTACGTCTTGACCACGTGTTACTAAGTTGTGTTGAGTTGAGTGGCGCGCACGAGATAATTAGACAACCAGAATAAATGTACACCTAACATACATGCGTGTTGTTATTTAAAAATGGCTGAAGGTAGAAACCATTTTATTTTACAGTATTTTAATTCAGGATTAATGTATGAGAAATACGTTTTTGTATTTAGATCTAATCTGATCGCAGACCCAACAATACTAACAACAAAAGTAGTTCCCAAAACAGCTTAAGCGATGTACAAGAAAGATTTTTTTCATTTTGTTTCAAGTCACTTTGGCTTACAGAAATGTCAATAAATGCACAATCACAAATTTCGCGGATGAATATTTTTATTTTAATCAATGAAAATTGCTAAAGCTTTGGATTATTGTGATCGCCTAAATGAACATTTGTTATTTAGACTTCTGAAAAAATAAAGTCACAGCTCCATAATAAGATAAGGATGATTTAAATTACAGCTAAGCGGATACAGTATAATTATGCAAAATTAAAATATTTAGAAGTGTTGAATCTAGTATACAAAAAATCTAGCGGTGAATTGCCTAAAGGCGGAAACTTCAAATAGCTAAGGGAAATTACTCTACATCGTCTCTGAAGTAAAGAAAAAGAAAATTGACATGAAACAACACCGATATATTCTATGAAAAGCTTTTTAAAAAATGGTTCTTACACCTACTATGGTAAAAGTGCTATTCATTTCTACTATGAAATAATGACCTGCCATAGAAGTCAATTGTTGTAGAAGTAACAGAAATTTATTTCATGAAATCATTTGTACTCAAATAATAACGTGTCTAAATGTTAATCTTGTCCATAACATTTAAGGTATAAAGGTGTAATGTAGTTTTCGACTTTTTGGCATCGCACTTTGTTGGTTAAGTTTTTGTATGCAAGTTGGTACCTCCAAACTACTGTACTGAAGGGAAAAGGTTGAAATTTCACACATTTATTCCAACTTGGATTTAACACTTTTCAACAGGTCTAGGATTTCATGATATTTATGAACTGTCTGTAAATTTATTGACCATCTATAATTCTATAGATTTTTATCTGTAAATTTATCAACATTAATAACAAAAATAGTATACTGTAAGTTGTATTAAAATTCAAAACCACAGGTTATAAAGAATAAGATTACAGTACTGATAATGATTACAGTATATGATTAAATGAAACAGTACTGTATGGCAAGATTCAGAATACTTTGATGACTTTCAGTTTTCACTTTTAACAAAAATTTCAAAGTCATCATACAAAGTAACAAAGATGAATCTTATCTCATTACCCTTGTTAATATAAACACTCATTCTCAATAATAAATTTCTAGTCTACAGTATCCGTAAATTTACGGACAGTCCATAGACATCATGAATTCCTAGACCTGTTTAATTTTTGGCAGAATAATGAGAGTTATGACCCATTATGAACTTACTAACTTACTTAAAAGATTCTAAATTTCTATATTCTCCACGTTCTTGTTTTACTATCAAACACAGAGACAGGGGTTGACACTAACTTTTCAGCCAGGAATCCCAACGGGACATCTGTTTTTGAATTCAAAAGTCCCTTCCCTAAGTTAGAAGTCCCTGATTTTTTTTATATAATTTTAAGAAAAAAGCAATAACCTTTGTCTATCAAAATTGATGTGCAACTTATTTTTTATTGTTCTTTCGTTCTACTTTTTGGGATGTTGATCATACCTTGCTTTCTGTTTTGAATTCCTGTATTTATTATTTCCAGTAATAAATTTTTATTTGAAGTAATTGATTTCTGTAAATAACAAAGTTGTTGTGGTGTAATAAGATGAGTAAATTTCTTTTTCCTAGGCTGCTGAAAGTACAGAAAGTGAGGGAAAATCTGGATTTGACTCGTCAGATGAGGAAGAAGGAGAACTTGACCTGTCACCTTTTACATTGTCATGGTATACGTATTCTTTCTTTTCTCAGTTGCAGTGTTTTTTTGTTGTTTTTTTTATACCAGTGGCTACATGTACTTTTGAAACTTGTCAGTGTTACTGTACTGTTATTTTAATATTAATAAAAAATATGATGATATTCATTGACCTTATAAACAGATTATCTACAAAGTCAATACCAGATAGTTTTGTTATGAAAAATTTTACGTTGAAAATACTTCCCTTTTTTTAAGAAGAAACCAAAGAGGTTATCATATTTTCTAGATTTTTATGATGAAAATTGAATTTGTTATACAGGTTAGAACTTGGTACTGGAGATGGGCTGGACAAACTTGGCATCAGTGGACTACCTGGTATTATCCTTATGTTTGAAATCATTTACATAAAATTAGCTCAAGTTTTAAGTTTAATTTAAACATGTTTATAATACCGTTGTTACAACAAAGTGATAAGGAGGGTAAACTAAAGTCAGCTTGTCTGTCTGATTGTCAGGGAGTGTTTGTCTGAGGTATAACTTAAAAGTTATTGTTGGTATCATTTTGAAACTTCACAGATGAAAAAATCTCATTGAGAAGAAGAAAAGTGTATATAAATAAGAATGAGAGGATTTTTTTTGTGTAAGAAGCATAACTCTTTTATGTTTATGAGTTATTTCCCTTTGTTGATTTTCATACTTGGGCATTTATAATAAAAAAAATATTTGAGGTATCAATTTAAACTTTATATTCATACAATAACAGATTGATAACTTTTATTGAGTAGAAGTTCAGTGCTCAATAACTGTAACTATCTTTTAAAGAAAGGTACTTTTCTATATCTGCAATATTTTCAGGATGTAAATTTAAAGATACCTGGAGAAGCCTTGAGAATGATATCAGTAAGTATCTATATATTGTACATACAAATCTTCAAAATCTTCGTTGATTTCGAGGTTCAATTCTGTGCATGAAATTGTTTTGATATATGAAACACATCATGGAGACTTACATAGAGGGTGAATGCTTTTAAGGAAAAATCAAATTGGAAAGCTTGACAAAATTTTGCAAACATGCATGCAAGTGTTTGGAACCTACCCCTATTCAAGGTAATACTTTTGTGTCAAATGAATAACAATAAATCAATAGATATAATATTCTGATTCAAACATCAAGTTATTTAATATTATTAAAGTTAATAGTGCAATATTTTTAAACATATTCTTGTAATGATTATTAGGATATCTTACCTTTTAAAGTAGAATTATTTAAGAAATGATTCATTAGTTATCTTTGCATCACTTACTTTACAGTATTACTAAAACAAAATGTAAATTTAAAAATTCTTTTTATGATAATTTTGATTTCTCACCTCAAAGTTAGACAGTTGTATCTTGATAACATATGAATGAATGATTTCCTTGCTTCACTTTCTTAAATTAAAGAAAGAATGAGCTGCATCATGACAAAACCAACATAATGTGTTTGCGACCAGCATGGATCCAGACCAGCCCGTGCATCCGCACAGTCTGATCAGGATGCATGCTGTTGTTTACAGACCTTATAACAAGTTTAGAAACTGATAGCGAACAGCATGAATCCTGATCAGACTGCACGGATGCGCAGGCTGGTCTGGATCCATGCTGGTCGCAAACCCATTATGTTGGTTTTGTCATGACGCGGCTCAAATGTTTTAACCACAGAATGCCTAAAGTCAGAAGGGGTAGATGAGGTGTTTTCATTGTGTACAAAGGGAGAGTTAAACAAGTATCGTGTTCCATGGTTACTCAATGAAATGACAGGTGCCGATATTGTTGTACATCATTATCCGTTCCCAGACGGACAGACTCCAAACATGCCAAGTCTGCTGAAAATGGTTGATGAGATACAAGTGTCAGTCCGTAATGGAAGAAAACCTTTGGTGCAGTAAGTAACTTTGAAATGTATTTTGAAGTTTAATGTACTTTTAATGTGCATTTAGTATTTATGTCATATACATTATTTATAGTTTTCTTAAAATACTTTTATCCGCCTTTATTTTGAATATACATGTATATATATTTAAAAATACATGTACACGGTTTGTTACTGTTTTTTTTGTACTGGTAAAAATACTGACGCACATCAGTTCATGTACACCTAATATACACTGATTTAGAAATTTAAAAAATTACAGTTCTGGCAATTTTATGGTTATTGTGATAACTATTTACTATGTAATTTCCTATTTTCTAGTTGTTTTGGTGGATTAGGACGGTCTTGCTTGGGTAAGTTAATGCATACATTTATATACACACTAAGGGTGTAACGGTTTACCGGTATACTGATATACTGGAATATGAAAAAATAAATTTTCAATTAATTGCCTTCTAATTTCATACAAATTTCGCATAAAATCTTTAATTTGCGAATTTTATTAGTGCCAACATAAGATAAAATTATCCGACCCAGATGTGACTAGTTTTGTTTATCAAATTGTGTGACACTTTCTATTTATTTCTTGCATTTTTATTAAGTTTCTACCAAGAATATACATATAATAATAATATATAATGTTACTCCATCTTTACATCAAAACATATACACAATACGTATTGCAATATATTGCAATATTCTTCGGCAAAATAGCAATATATTGCAATACGGTTTTTGCCATATTGTTACAGCCCTAATACACACCAGTCTTTTGGTCCCCAACCTTTTTGAGGAAAAAAGGGGATATAGAAATAGGCTTTGTCTGTCTGTCACATTTTCGTGTGCAGTCCATAATATGGCATTTATCAAAGGAATTTGAAATACAGTAACATGGCACAAATGTTTGTTATAATTAGATGATGTGTCATGCACAAAACTGGACCCTTTTCTCCAAGGTCAAGGTCAACTTGGTGATTAATTGTCAACATTGTCTATTTGAGTGTGTTTGTTGTGTCTGGTCCATAACTTTTGTATCCATGAAGGGATTTTGAAAATACTTGGCACAAATGTTCACAAAAATGAGAGGACGTGTCATGTGCAAAAACTATTCCCCTACCTCCAAGTTAAAGGTCACAGTTAGAGGTCAAAGATTAACACAGTCTGTTACAGGGTATATTTTGTGTCCGGTCCATAACTTATTTATAGATTAAGGAATTTTTGAAATTATTTGGCACAAATGTTCACAATAATAAGACGATGTGTCATGTGCTAAAACCAGTTGCCTACCTCCAAGGTCAAGGTCACAGTTGGAGGTCAAAGATTAATATAATCTGTTTAAGGAAAGTTTTTGTTTCAAGTGCATAACTTTCTCATCCATCAAGGGATTTTGAAAATACTTGGCATAAATGTTGACAATAATAAGACGATGTGCCATGCACAAAACCTAGACCCTTTTCCCCAAAGTCAAGGCCACACTTAGAGGTCAAAGCTTAACATGATCTTTTATAGGGTATATTTTGTGTGCAGTCCATAATTTTTTTTATTGTTCAATGGATTTTGAAATTACTTGGCACAATTGACTGATGAATTGATGACTGTGCATGAAATATACCCTGTAACATATGATCATATGACCATATCTTGTATTGATTTTGTATTTGTCACATTTTGTGGTTTTGAAATAGTGATAACAAGTACATTGTACAATAATTGTATACAAATGTATTTCTGTTGACACATACAGAGGAGTTATTTCATTATATTTCTTTAATTAATATTTCTTTGTAACCGGCATGTGCACATCTAGCATTGATCAACATTTTGCACTGAAAGTCCAAATCCATACCTAAATCTTTTGAAATAGTACAATTTTGTGGTTTATGAAAAATTCCCTTAGGCGGGGGAAGTTGGTTCTAAATTTGTTATTATCATTTTTATCAAGCCTGCTTAATAGATAGCGAAGACTTAGTGGCTGTAGTGGTTTTGCTTGTTTGTTTGTTTCATTTTACGCCTTTTCCCCAACAGTATTTCAGTCATATAGGCGGGTAGTTTCCTAATCATCGTTCCTGGAGAGTTACACCAGTACTAGACTACCTTCCTCTGCGCTAAACTACCAAAGCATCTCCCCGGGATCAAACCCACGCCAGAGAGGTTACTTGATTAGAAGTCATCGACTCTAACCCCTCGACCACAGAGGCGGTTTTAGGCTGTAGTGATGGTTCGGTGTAACAGTATAATGTGCATGCATTAGTGTTTCCAACCTACTTTGTCCAAGTGATATGGACTCACAAATATCTTCTAAGCTAAATTGTCAACCTCATTGAGAAAGGATTTATTGAATTAATATTTCAAAGCATCAAGGAATTTTTTATTTGAGATTCAGTATGTATAAATTGTTACTGACAGTTAAAAGTTTACACTTTACACTTTAAAATGAATGTAAGAAGCATACAAAAAATTATTGTTTAATAATAATGTTATTGTGTCTCCTAATTTGACAGTTGCAGTGTGTGCTATGTTGGTGGTAGATGAAAGTTTGGAACCACAAAAAGCTATAGATAAAATCAGAGAGTTAAGAGGACCAGGGGCTATACAGTCAGTGAAGGTAGGTATAGTTGAATGGACTCATAGACAGTTACTGAAAATAATTATGCCAGTGCCATTATAAAACAGTTATTGACAAGTGAGCCATGTAATATGATGTGATATTCATGGGCAATATGTCATATTGACTGAAACAATAGCAGGGCAAATCATGAAACAGTTAAATAAAATGGCTGACTTAATTTTTTTTCCTAAATGTTGTGTGATATAAAATTGGAAGCATTCATTCTAAATATATCTGATTAGTAAAGATTAGTGCTGAATGTTAACTAATAATAACTATTGTAAATTAGTATGGTGTTTTCATATTTGATTGCTCTTTCTTTAATTGAATGAATGCAAATACATGTTTTCTATATTCCAACATAAATAAATCTTTATATCTTGATGTGAAAATACTAGTCAAAACAGACAATTATCATCGCCCCCTCTCCCTGTTTAATTTTAAAAATGGTGTCCCTTCTTGAATGCTTTTTCACTTATCACCTCATTTGATATATACATGTAAATTGTTTACAAGGTTTTTCATCTTTCTTGTTTCAGCAATACAATTATGTTTGCGATTTCCGACAAATATATGAAGAATACAAAAGAGAGAATGAGACGGAGGCAAGGTCAATCTCAAGGTGACATCGTCCAATTAGTTCTGGAAAAGAAACATTATTTATTAAAGTGCTCAACATCATATATTTTTAAAATAATAGCTTTTGCGTCTTGCTTATAAATATGACAATTTGCTTGGCTTACATGGAATAATATTAATGAAATGACTGCATAACTACTTGTACTCATGGTGTTATCATTTTCATTTATTTACTAAAGTAAACGTTTTGGATGTATCCATAATTACCAACATTCACAGGGGAGAATTGCTTGAGGGAGGGTAAAAAAGTAATGCAGTTTTTCTGAAGTGATATTAAAATGAAATTATTCTCTTTATTTATTGAATGAGTGAAAATATATTGAGTTTTAGGTAACAGCCAGATTACTGTTGACATTCTGAACTCATATTTACGTTTGTGCAGTGCATGTTTAATATACTATTTATACCTTTAATATTTATGAAAAAGTGTGTTTACACTTAGTTACATGTAATGTTATTTATTTAAATTAGACAAAATCTCCCATTTAGGAGATGTTCAGTGGGATAATTAAATTTTCTATAATGATTTCTTTGTTTACAATATGTTCCACACTATTCCTCCTCTGTTGCTTTTTTAAATGATTTTAAAAATAATTGAGATTTGAGGAGAAGTTAACAAATACTTGTGGAAAATCAGTTATTATTTGAACACTTATTTATTTGGTATAATATCTTGGATGGTGTAATCAATTAATCATAATCAGTAGTCAAGTAATCAACAGTTATCAGTAACCAAAGTCATTTTCAATTACATGTAATTTAATAATTTTCAAACCTAGATTTCGTTGTAATCATTGATTTTGATTTTTATTACTCTCTAAAGGCTGGTAAATGACTTAGAATAGTTTTCTACTTGTGCTTAAACAAGACAAATGAAGAAAATTCTTGACATAACAATGAACATTTTGAAGTATTGCATCTTTGCAGCAAGGTGAAAAAAACTGTTAACAGATATCTTTGTAACTTTAGGCTAATTTTGTGTCTCTCTTATTTTTGTCTCATCTTATTTTGTATGCATTTTTCCTTTTTTTTGAAATAAAGAAATAAGATTTATTTTAAAAATGTGTAACTTGTTTTGTGATTATCTGAATATGTATAAATTAAAATAACTAACAAAGTTAAGTACAATTCTATGTTCTGTGTGATTTGATACTTTATGAGGGTATGTTGATAACCCTTACAAAAGATTGCTTTAAAGAAATGTCTTATCCTTGTTAAATATATTGATCAAAATGCATGAAAAAGCACGTTTAAAACACAATCCACTGTTTTTAGCACACCTAAGCTAGCTCAGGGTGAGCTTTTAGGATAGTTGAATGTTCGTCGTCTGTTGTTCGTCCACACTTGTTTGTTAACACTCTAGTGGTCACATTTTTGCCTCAATCATCATCAAACTTTGTCAGGATGATTATCTAGTTAATAGCTCGGATGAGTTCAAACGTGGGTCATCTCAGATGAAAAACTGTCAAAAGAAAAATATAAAAACTTGTTAACACTCTAGTGGTCACATTTTTGACTCAATCATCATCAAACTTGGTCAGGATGCTTGTCTAGGTAATTGCTCGGATGAATTTGAACATGGTTCATCTCGGATGAAAAACTAGGTCACAGGAGCTAAAAATAGAAAAATCTTGTTTACTCTAGTAACTACTGTTACTGTTTTGATCCAAATATCCTGGAAATTTGTCTGAAAGTTTGTTTTGATGATTCTAGGTCAAGTTTGAATATGGGTTATCTGAGATCAAAAACTAGTTCACACTGCCAAAATATGGAAAAACCTTGTTAACACTCTAGTGGTCACATTTTTGACTCAATCATCATTAAACTTGGTCAGGATGCTTGTCTAGGTAATTGCTCGGATGAATTTGAACATGGTTCATCTCGGATGAAAAACTAGGTCACAGGAGCTAAAAATAGAAAAATCTTGTTAACTCTAGTGGCTACTGTTTTGATCAAAATATCCTGGAAATTTGTCTGAAAGTTTGTTTTGATGATTTCTAGGTCAAGTTTGAATATGGGTCACCTGGGGTCAAAAACTAGGTCACACTGCCAAAATATGGAAAAACCTTGTTAACACTCTAGTGGTCACATTTTTGACTCAATTGTCATCAAACTTGGTCAGGATGCTTGTCTAGGTAATTGCTCAAATGAGTTCGAACATGGGTCATCTCGGATGAAAAACTAGGTCACAGGAGCTAAAAATAGAAAAATCTTGTTAACACTCTAGTGGCTACTGTTTTGATCCAAATATCCTGGAAATTGGTCTGAAAGTTTGTTTTGATGATTTCTAGGTCAAGTTTGAATATGGGTCACCTGGGGTCAAAAACTAGGTCACACTGCCCAAATATGGAAAAACCTTGTTAACACTCTAGTGGTCACATTTTTGACTCAATTGTCATCAAACTTGGTCAGGATGCTTGTCTAGGTAATTGCTTGGATGAGTTTGAACATGGGTCATCTCGGATGAAAAACTAGGTCACATGAGCTAAAAATAGAAAAATCTTGTTAACACTAGTGGCTACTGTTTTGATCCAAATATCCTGGAAATTTGTCTGAAAGTTTGTTTTGATGATTTCTAGGTCAAGTTTGAATATGGGTCACCTGGGGTCAAAAACTAGGTCACACTGCTCAAATATGGAAAATCCTTGTTAACACTAGTGGTCACATTTTTGACTCACCTGTCATAATACTTGGTCAGAATGCTTGTCAAATGAGTTTGATGGGTCAGGTGAGCGATTTAGGGCCATCTTGGCCCTCTTGTTTTCTTGTATTACGGTACCAAAATGAAGACAAAATGTCTTTAGCTGAATAATCCTTCGAAAACTAGAGACACCAGCTTCAGCTTGTATAATGATAATAATTTGTCTTATTTTAATAGATTACAATATTTACAGCAATTATCTCATTTCTTTTAACTCAACTATTCGAAGAGCAAGGAGAGCTTTTGTACTCACCCAAGCGTCAGTTTGGTTAATTTTTTGCGTGAGAATTTTTATCTGCAAAACTACCAAAGGGAAGGGGTTGAAACTTCAGTCTTATTTGAGAGCATAATTGGAGGTCACTTCTAAGGCCAATAACTCTAACATGGATTTGGACATATTCATGGCCCTTTTGAAAATTCTACATTATCCAAGCTCTTGTGTTACTATTAGTCTATCAAACACTGAGAATAGTCAAGCACGCTGTTCTATCAACAGCTGTTGTTTTTTCTTGGATTAAAAATTGTGGCTACTAAAGTAGATCAATAGTGTATTGTCAGTTTGTCTGTAAATGATATCTGATGATTAAAATAGTACACAAGCTTTGTTAATGTAACTTGCCATACAAATGATAGTGTTCTGTTTACAAATGTATGTCAGTCACTTATGTGTAGATCATGCAATAGGCTTGCTGTGTTTACAATATCAACAAAATGTCAAATATGAACTGATAAGTACAACATTCATAGCCTTCATTTATTGAGTTATTTTTGATATTTGATATATACATATAAAATGAGCATGGACATAAAACTTTTATGAGGAGTTTGAAGTCAATGGGGCTAACCACTACTTTCTACCTTCCTCATATTTTTGTTATGCTTTTCAAGTGTCAAAGTAACATGGACTAGCATCTATTGCTGAGTTTGATATTTGTGGTCATTCTGACTTGTAATGTTTCCAACAAAAATGATACGCTATATGCTAGTGATTCAATACAATTGGATTACCATTCATTACACATGATTTGCATTAAAATAAAACTATGTGATAAATACTGAAAAGTTTATTATTTAAAATACAATGAACACAATACCAGTATTTACAAAATCATAAATAAAAATAGATAAAAACTACTTGAGAAATGCATACACATGGGATATAAAATACAATAAAAAAAGTAGATAATTAAAACACACAACATTTGGAAGTACAAGAGTGAGCTGCTTTAAAACTATCGGGTATTTCTACGAAGAAATGCCCAAATGCAATTGTCAAATTACTGAAATTGAGCTAATTTAAGGTAAAACAAATCTACATAAAATTCAAAATAGAAATTTTTACAATTATTTTTGGTTTAGTCAAACCAATATTGCCAAGCTTTTGTGGTGGCGGAAGACCTCAGTCACTTGGCCATAGAGCCCATCTTTATGCATTTTTTCTAGCCCTATGATCCCTTTGTGATGTTCTATCAGAAGATTAAAGATTTTTGCTTTATATGGCAATATGCACTATGAATAGTCTTTGCGTATTAAGAATATAACAAACAAAAATAAAAACAAGAGGTATTCTTGATAAATCTAAGAGTGCACAGATCTGAAAAATACAACAAAAAAATGTATTAATCTCAAAATTATACAGTACAGTGTAGGCCTGTCATTTTCTGAATTTTTATGGTAAATTGACTATTAAACAATGTTACACAAAGAATCTATATTTAATCTATTAATTTAAAAGATCATTTTGATATAATTGGCTTTTATACTTAATTTGGATACAGGAAAATATTTACTGAACAATATAAAAGAAGTGTAGGCCAGAATTGCAGACTTAGGTAAACAAGTCTGTTCACAATGCTTTATGACTTTTTGAGCATATAACTAAAGTACAATGTATCATTTAATTAAACCTACAGACAGATACAAATTCAATAGTAAATATATATATTATATACATATAATGCTGTAAACTAACAAAGAAACTGGCTTCATGCCAGTATGTTCAACCATAAAACTATGATTACATACAATATGTATTAAATATAGAGATTAAATCAACAACATGTAAAAAATATTTTTTAGATCAACTCTTCAAAGCTACAAGGCATAAGAATAATCTTGTAAAACTTTACAGCTATTAAGAACTATATTGGACTGCCTATAATTAGCAGAAAATGTTTTTTATTGTAAAATATGAAATCATATGAAATTACTTAATTAAACTGGAAGAAAGATGTTCGTAAATTTCTGTCAAAGCAGGTAATATAGGTCTGAACTCACATCACTAAATGGTAACCTACTGAAAAATCAGAAATATATTTAAACGTTTTTTCTGATATTGCCTTAAGATTATATAAAAAAAATATATCAAAAGTGTTAAGTTTAACCATTTTGTCTGTAAAAGTTTTACATCCTTTTAATTAGAATGAGGAAGAACTAAATTATCACATAAATATAATGTACACACTCTTTCTTGACATATAGAATGAAATGGAAGTTCTATGGTACAATAAAGGCTACAACCTGTTTTTAAAATTCAATATTGCACTGACTTATTGGATAGACAATATGTATTAATTTCATTTGGTACATAATATCTTTTCAGTTTTGTGTCACAATGTGTATATTTTTCTTTAATAAGCTAAATAACACATCTCAGTCCATGAAAACAATCAATCCACACATTCAAATTGTTTTTTTAGATAATATGAGATGTAACAACTGGCAGATCTAGACATGTTCTCTACAAATTCTCCACTTTGTGGGCAAAAGCAAATATATGTTTTGCTATTTCTTTCTGGAGCTCTTCTTTTTTAGCATTGGGATGGTCCTTGACATATTTAGCAATTCCTGCTATCGTCTGTGCCCTTAGTGCATCAACTTCCCTCTCCCCACTCATCCGCTGGTAAATCTCATATCTGAAGTTAAATAAAAGATTTTATAAATTTATATTATTCATTATGCACACATGAATGAAGATCAGGTTGAACATGTACTATATTTTGCATTTGATGTTATCACATTTTAAACAGCATTAAGCAATTGGAAATGAAGGAAGTGGAATCAAAATCATATTTCAAATAGTTAAAATTTTATATGTTTTTAGCTCGACTTTTCTATGAAAAGGGGAGCTATCCTACTCGCCCCGGCGTCGGCGTTGGCGTCACACCCCACTTTATTTCAGAAGTATTACAAGTATGGCTTTGAAACTTACCATACTTGTTCACCATCATAACCTCCATCTACAGACAAGAGTACATAACTCTGTCAAGGTTTTTGACAGAATTATGGCCCTTTTTTGACTTAGAAAGTGTATTGAGCTTGGTTAAGTTTTTTGTACCACCTCACTTTATTTCAAAACCATTGGAGGTATTGCTTTGAAACTGACCATACTTGTTTACCATCACGACCTTCATCAACAGACAAGAGGACATAACTCTGTCAAGGTTTTTGACAGAATTATGCCCCTTTTTGACTTAGAAAATACATTGAATATGGGTAAAATCCACTTATTGCCTTAACCTTTGAGATATTGCTTTGAAACTTTTAATGCTATTTCACATCATTACCCCCATCTGTACGCAAGAGAAGGTAACTCTGTCAAGGATTTGTTTTAAAAATTAAGGCCTTTTATCGACTTAGAATCTTGGTTAAGTTTTTAGTACCATTCCACTTTTTGACTGAACTGTTTGAGATATTAATTTGAAAGTTGGAATACTTGTTTACAATCATGATTCCCAAACATGTCCAAAATACAGAGATTCTTGTATTGCCTTTTACTGCAAAAACTTTTTTTATTGGCAAGCAATAAAAAAGTCGAGCGCGCTGTCTTACGGACAGCTCTTGTTTTTAAATACTGCAGTTTAGATTGTTTGGGACAGGTAGGGGGTGCTTAGGCCTAGGGTACTGGGTAGTGACCAGTTAACATGCCAGGCTATATCAGGAGTATATATTGTATAGAAGGTTCATCAAGTATTTGCCTCCCCTAATCCCTCCTATCCTGAGGAGTGCATGTCTGTCCATTGATTTTCAGGTGAAAACAGTCTGCAGAGGATCTAGTTTAATTAATTTGGCATGAACTGTTTGACCTATTTATAGTTCTGGCTTCCAAAACTTAATATGCCGCTTTTTAATATTTTTGTTTTTCATCTGATGCGGCATTGAAGTTTTGGATTAACCCAGTTACGAAACTTAACCAGAATACAATGTAGCATTTATAAGCTGATTTAACCTTATTTTTCATTTGCCAATACCCTTGTCCCATTTAACTTTTGTGCATTTTGCGATAAAACAATTATTTTAATATCGTTCTATACCATTTAAAATATATATACATTAATACTGTCATTAAAATTGCCAATTTAACTGTGAAACATCAATTACGCCGACTACAGTCGGCCATGACATTTAGAAGCTTCGCGAGACCTACTACTGTGTGACGTCATTCGCGGGGAGTCGTGGACTATATTTAGAACATATTTGTTGACATGATTTCAATATTTATAATTCAAGATAATGTTTTTATTTATTTTCTTTATTTTTTTCAGTACTTTATAATAACATTATATTGAATACAAAAGTCAGTTTATCACCTTTTTAATATCTTTAAAAGAGTAATTTATAATAAAGTTGGAAGCACATGGGTTCTGTTTTCGTAAAGATCAATCTCTCAATCACGTGGTTAAAAAATTTGGCAATATGGCGGCCAAGTGCTGAATTTTTTACCTGTCAGAAACTATTAGGTAGTTTATGTTCGCAATAAGTTTTTTATATGCCCATTCTTGGCTTATCAACAGATTTTACATAGTTTTATCAAGGTATGCTTCACTTTACTTCATGGCATGTTTGATGAATGAATATGAGCGTGTCAGTTTCCTAGCACGAATTATTGGTGGACTTTCCCTATGGGTCTGTCTTCAGCGTTCACGTCATGTCATATAAACGGGTACGCTGAAGACCTTCAGCTACCTATTTTACAGACTTTTTTTTTTCATACTGTGAGACGATTAAGACATCGCTCGTCCAATATTATCTCGATGTCTCTTTGACAAGTCTAATTAGTTGGACTAGTGGGGAAGGGGGAACTGGTAAGGGGGGGGGGGGGATAGTATTATAAGGGTAACATATCGTGGTCACCCATAGATAAACAAAATGATCTGAACTTTAGTCAGATTGATCAGATAATCATATTAATTTTTAAATCATTTCTTAATAAAATTTAATTAATGTAATCACAACAGAAGCCTTGTAAATTGTAAGTTATTATTGTTGAATGAAATTATTATACACTCAACACTGCTAGAAACTGAATCCTTTAGTAATTACGAACCCAACTCTGAATGAAGACAGTTTTTCTAACATTCCAGAATCGCCATTTTGGATCCATTGAAGAGTTGCAATCGTCTGCAACATATCTGCATTTCCTAAAGAAAATGAACTTAAATCCATTTTTATTTTTTTTTCTTAATAAAATATTCGAATTGGCTATATATTAACACTTCAGGAACAAAATATCCCAACACTTGAGTGTATACAATGGCACAGTCTAAACGCTCACAATAATTATAGAGAAAGAGCGAAACACGGACGATATAAATAGCAGATGGTTAATTTGGCGATGGTAGCTTGATAATAATTGGATATAATGGCACGTGTTTAAATTTACAATTAAAATCCGTGATAATGGAAATCTGATACATTTAGTTAATAGTGCTTTGAATGAATTAAAAAAAAGATTGAATTTTATGTCACTTTTATTACGTTTTATTATAGATACATTTATATTTTATATGATAATTCATGTTTGTTACTCCATTATCCTTCAAAAATAACTTTCTTCGTATAGATATTGCAATAAAAGGTAAGGGTAGTTAGACTTTTTACGTCTTCATCTAAAACTATTCTTACGTGCATATATAGGACACTAGCGGACGATAAAGAAAGTAAACGGACAAAAAAGCATAAAGTAAAATAACACTGGCGATACAGTTGTAAATAATCTATTAGAAACGAAGTATAATTAAATACTTACATTTATATTTACATTTTATTTTGCTGAAAAAACATATATGTCTTGTAAAAACGTCTATAATGACTCATTTAGTGTTCTCAAGTGCTGGGATTTTAACATATAGACAAGATGTATTATGTCTCTCAAGTGTTGGGATTTAAACATCTAGACAAGATATTTCTATAATGACCCTCAAATGTTGGGATTTCAACATGTAGACAAGATATATTGTATTATGTTCTGAAAAGTTGGGATTTAACTATGAAAAATTTTGTATAAACAAGAATTTTATTATC